TTTAGCTCCCGAATGTGATGAGCTTAGAGACAGGTCTTTTGGAATTAATTAGGGTTGGGGAGGTCATGAGAGAATGGGCTCCTACTTATGGAATTCATGTCCTTATAAATATAAGGACATCATAGTGCTCAGGAAGATGAGATGGAAGGACAGTTCACAAGTTCAAGATTGCCCAGGGTGACAAAATGGGTTCTAAGTTAACTCAGGCTACAAAGTGAGACCCAATCTCAAAATTTTATATATATATATATATATATATGAGAAAAAATAAGAGAGCATGAGAGGGAGATATGCTATCTCTCCCCACTCCAAGCTCCACCCAAATTCCTAAAGGAAGAGCACGTGAGAACATCTAATTGATGACCATCTATAGGCCAGGAAGAGTGTCCTCACTAGAAACTGAATTGCCTAGCACAGTGACATTGGGCTTTCTCACCTTCTATAACTGAGATGCATTGTGTTAAATCCTCAGCCTGCAAGTTAGTTATTGCCACTAACACCGCCGCCGCCGCCGCTGCCGCCGCCACCACCACCCAGAAAACAAATACGTGTGTAATTCTCTAAGATGGTCATAGTATGTTCATCTGGGGTGTTTTTATGCTAGTAAAATATCTGCCTTTAGGTAGGCAGGGCAATGGGATACAGACAATATAGCTAAGCTAAGATTTTTAATATCTTCTGCAAGTCATGATAACCAACATTGTCATACAGTTTTGTGCATTGTTGCTTGGTTAGGAGTAGAAATTGCCTTGAAATAAGTACGAAGTCAGTAGCCATAGGAAGTAAATGACCACCTCCAGAAGCAGGCAGGATGGGAACAGAAAAGTGAATTAGTAAGAATTGCACAAGGAAGCAGAAGTCTCCAGCAGCAAGCCAGCTCTTGGAGCAGCCGTTTTTCGACCTATAACAAGATAACAGAATGGCTTTTGGCCCTGCAGGATGTAACAACGCGAGTGTCATTCTGAACAACAGATAGGTTAGGTAGCATCATGTACATTCTTGTCCTTTATGAACAGCTAAAATGTTATCTCTTCCATGACTTTTCTAAATGTTGATTGACAATGACATTTGGATATTTTTACATCCTGTAGTGCAGAATTTATTAATCTCTCTCTCTGAGGCTTCAAGTGAACCTTGGCTTTACTTTTACAAAGCACGTATCACATCATGTTACCAGGAAGTTGGGTATGGTTCCTGTCCTGCTCTACAGTGAACTCTGAAGACAGAACTGTGAACAGAGAAACTACTCAGCCAGCACTGGGAAGAATGAGTGAGTGGATGATGAATGAACGAGGTGAATGGTCAATGGAAGAATGAATGACGGATAAATTGGCAAGTTAGTTCATGAGGAGTGAATGAATCTGTGCTCTTTTGGTGAGTTCTCATTTACCTCTGACTTCTAGAGATCCTTTGACCCAATGTCCAGGCTGAGGCCGACTATCTGCCCATTTATGAAGCTCGGAAGTGTGTTTAAGCACTGCCATGTCTTGAGTCAGCCATGGGCACTGCCATGATATGGAGGCAGTGAGTTCCAGAGTAACATACAGAGCTTCCATACTTCACTAATGCCAATGTCAAAGATTCCTCGGCTACTAGAATACACCATAACAGCCTGGACTACTGTGTAGCCTAAGTTTGGAGGGCTATTCTCTTGTTTCCTAAGGAAGCAATTGTCTCACCATCCACATTCAGAGCCAACTCCTTACAACATTATTTCCTTGCCAGTGGCTGAACATGGGGTTTCATGCCTACAAGGCCAGTTCCCTAACACTCAGTCTAGTCTCTGACCAATGCTTTTAAAGTAAAATTAAACCAGTCATGTTTAAGGACGTCCAGATGTTAAGTTCAGAGTAGGCTCTGTAATACATATTCCATTAGCCCCTGAATCTGTCACAAGGCATCAGACAAGGTGGCAAATTCTATCAGGATGTCCGGAATGCCTCCCATCTGGCCTTTTCTCCCTTTCTTGGCTAGTACCCAGCCCCTACACTGTTCCTTCTGAACACTGTTTAGGTTATCCTCACCACTGCGAATTCTCAAGAGGAGACTCCTCATGGATGTAGGGTTAGATAGTTGGGGACTTAGTATATTAATGCCTAATATAGTATAGGCTTATATTATGGAAGAAAGACAGAGTGAAGCAAAGATGTTGCCCTCAAATGATACCAGACAGGCAGTTGTCCTGACTGAGCAGCTACTAACCAAACGACATGTGGACTAGATGGGATGATGTTAGCCTAGTCAGGAAGAAAGGACTTTGTTTTATCTTTATATATGTATATGTGACAGTTTTGCCTGAGTGTATGTCTGTGCACCATGCATGCAGTATCTGTGGAGCCCAGAAGACAGCATCAGATCCCCTTGAAACTGGACTTACAAAGAGTTGTGAACTGCCATTTGGGTGCTGTGAATCAAACCTGGGTCCTCTGGAAGAATAGTCAGTGTTCTTAATCCCTGAGCCGTATCTCCAGCCCCTTGGGAAGGAAGGCTTTAAGCCTTTGGTTTTTCCTTCCTTGCTGCCTATCCTTTACAAGTACTTATTTAATATTTACTGTGACCTAGACACTGTCCTTGGCAAAACCACAACAAATAATGCCATGTCTTTGTACCCTTACTAAGCTTACATTTTGATACAAATGAAAATAGGTAACTCCAAACAGAGATACAAGTATGCAAAAAAAAATTAGGTATAAAAGTAGGTCAGTTTCTCGAAAAGTTAAAGAGTATTACCCTATGACGCAGCAATCTCACTCTTGGGTTGATACCCAAAGGAACCGAAAACAGAGAGGCAGCAGGTCTCTATGCACTCGTACTTGTATCCATGACAACACTCTTCTCAATGGCCAAAAGACAGATGATAAGCTGATAAACACAAGGTGGAATAGATGGATGAATGATAGATAGATAGATAGATAGATAGATAGATAGATAGATAGATAGAT